CCCCGCGACCCGCGTCCTCTGCCGCCGCAGCCGCGGCCCCATCCGCCACCGCCGCCGCCGCCCCACCCAGCTGAGGCGTCGCGGGCGCTTCCCCACCCGCCGCTCGCCGGTGCGGCCGCCTCATCCTCCGCCGACCCCCACCCCCCACCACCAGCGGCGGACTGCCCCCCCGAGGAGCCCCAGCCGCTACCGCCGCCACCACCGCTCCCCCAGCCTTGCAGAGTGAAGGCGGTGGCCCGCATCAACAGCGGCGCAAAACTGCGTCGGAGCATTCTCTTTCCGTCTCACGTACTCACCTTCACGGTTTATGCGTCAAAGGGTGTGTGCTTGGTGCAGTCGATAAAAAGAAGAGCGTTTGCACGTAAACACGTCGGAGCTCTCTTGCTTGTGTGCGTGTGTGTGTGTTAACGCAGACTTTGTGTGAATGCCTGTGGAAGCTTCGCTGTGGAGCCCGCCGTGTCATGTAACATGGCAAGATTTGGTGGTTGTTGCCGGGACAAATTTTCGTTTTTGCCGTTATATAAACGCAGACGCATGTGCACGCGTGTCCGTGGCGTAAAAACGGAAGAAAAGGAGGGTCCAGGGAAGTGAGACAAGGGAGAGAGAGAGAGGGAGCAAAATTCATCTATCACGGAGGTAGAAGAGGCCATTGGAAAAATAATACGGATCTACAGCGATGACTTGGATATCACAGCCAGCTGCGTCTTCATCTGCTTTGCCTTAGCAAGCGCAAGTACCAGCCAAGAAAGAAATCACACAGGAGAAAAACAGGAGGGTACTACGGCGGAGAAAAGCTATCTGCACTTGATTGCGTGTTGGATCCTCCTCGCGTGTGTGTGTGTGTGTGTGTGTGTGTGTGTGAGTGCGTTTTCCTTTTAGTTTTCTTAAATACATTCTAATGGGGTGTCTCTGTGAACCATTATTCATTAGTTACTTCAAAACGATTTTCTTTCGTTTACACAACACGTTGAAGGAGAAGCAATTATAGTTAAACGGAGAAACAGAGAGACAAGGGTGAAGGCGGGGGGCCACGCAACGGAACAGTCTTTCAAGCACATGAGACGGCAAGTAGGAGGACAACAAAAACGGAAAGGTAAAAAAGAAATGAGCAAGCAGCTACATCAAACCAGACAATGGATAAGTGGAACTACTGATACATCATCAGCGCCATTCAATTCAGCGCTGAATGAAGGCTGCCGCCGCACCCGCGCTGCGCCGCTTTCGTGTGCCCTTTCTTCTTTGCCCACTCGCTCTATGCGCTCGATCGTCTCCCTTCCGTCTACTCGGTGTTGTTTTCACAGCCCCTTCTCGCCATCCGTCGCTCTCTCCCACCCACCCCTCTCGAGTCATTCTACAACACGTCTGCGAGAGATCAGTGCAGCCGGTGCCGCCGCATGCGAATGTCGTCGCCATCCATCTTCTTCCAGCGGTGCAGCAGGTGCGACATCACCCCGCTCCACGCCACCTGTACCATGGACGAGTACGCGAGACGGAAATGGCATGGAATGTAATAAAACATGGGCAGCCAATTGACCGACCAGAACATCAGGCCGTACTTCATAATATCGGGGAAGTCATAGAGTAGCTTGCGCTCCACATCGGTGCTGACACAGGTGTAGTACTCGTGGAAGTTGAAGTCCGTGTTGCCTACAAAGCGGTAATAGTAGCCCATCTTGTGCACCGTCGTCTGGTCCAATTCTTTGGAGGTGTTGCGAAAAGGGCTGAAGCTAAAGCGGATGCGGCCTGTGCTGCGCTGCGTCTTTGCGTCTTCGTCGCCCGCCTCCACCACGCGGTCCTTCTGCGTGCTCGTACCGGTCATTGGGATCGCCATCACGCGTCGCCGTCCGTCACGCCCGTCACGGTAAATGAAAAAGTGGTCTAACGCGGTCACGTAGGTTAAGTAAATGGGGTTCGTGACTTGCGCCGCGACGTAGCTGAGAAAACCTTTTGCGATGGCGTTGCGCTTCGTGATGAAGGCAGGGTTGATGAGGCGGTCGAGGTGACGGTAGACCCAGAGAAAGTACGGCACGCCGAAAATGAAGGTGAAGCTGCAGAAGATCATGCTGCGGCGGAGGTCGAGGAGGACAGTGGTGTTGCCGCGCACCACCGGCTGGCTCTCCGCCGTCGTACTCGTCGCCCCACGAGAACCGTTCGCTAAGTCCGTGTGTCGCCCGGATGAGGCCTGGTATTCTCTCCACATGTTTCTCGCACACAGGAAAGGCGAGTCCACCGAGAGGAGAAAGACGGAGTCTCTGCTCTCATCGGGCAGCCGCTCCCTCGTAAGAGGCGGTCGCGACTGCGTCCACGGCTCGTAGACAGTCTGGCACACGACGTCGCCGCAGAAGCCCACTGTCGTGCTCAAAACCAGATTGGAGCGGAGTGGGTACTCCTTCAAATAATACGACAACGAATGGATTAAAAACCGCATTGCTGCCTGCGCGTGTGCGGGTGCGTGTGTGTGGGTGGATGTGAAGACTTGGGCGTATTCCTGCGCGTGGGGTACGAAACGCGAAAGAAATAAAAGGCAGATGCACCTACAACAGAGCGGTGAATCACTGGCAAAAATGCATGAACTTGCCTCTGCCGAGATTCACGTGCGTCGTCACGACCTAAACAAGCCAGTCGTGATGAGAACAGAAGAGAAAAAAAAAGACGCAGCTGGTGGTTGTAATCGATGGGAAGCCCCTTTCACAACGGAGAAAGAGGGGAAAGGAGGAAAACGACGTTCAGTGAATACTCAGGAATACAAAAAAGAAAGGAAGCGAAGGTGCGTCGCTTATCGCACAAACACGAAACAAAAATGGGGCGGTCGGGGCACCGAAGTCGCTGAACGCTGAACGATGAGGACACGCGCAACGAGATGCATATATTTTCAATTAAAAAAGAAATGTAAAGGAAAAGGCGCAGTTCGAAAATTCACTCACGAATTATTCTGCCACAACTGCTGTAATGAATGCAGAGGAACAGAAGATCCAGCTGTATCGGCGTGCGAGCAACTTCGCAGGCCAACGCACGACAAGTCAGTGTTGTCAGAAAACCTCTTTCAGAAAAAAAAAGGAGGCCGAGTCAACCAGAGAGAGTAAAAATATGAATCGCTTCAAATGTTGGCTGCGAATACAACCGCCGCTGGGGCTTTCCAATCTCCTCTTCGTGGGTGCACGATGCGCGCGCCGCCGAGTAAGTGAGTAGAACAAAGGCGTGTAGCGTCACGTACTGGCTTGTTGCGTTGCAGCGCCGTTCATCGAAACGCGAAAGTGAAAGGGTTGACGGAAAACAAGGCGAAGCAAGGCGGCAACCATTTGTCGACAGAAACAGGAAGGGTGAAGAGCAGACAACAGCAGGCTTTACAAAGAACGCCCTTTGTCAACATAAGAGCCCCCAAACGTAATTCAGGTGCTTGCGTCGATCAAAGCGATCCAGTGAAACAGTCGGTTCAACTGCTTACATCGCCACCGGCAGCAAAGTTGGAAAGTCGCAAAACTGAAAGACGAGCGAAAACGCGTCTCAACGATATTGCCACAACTCCGAAGCCCGCACAACTGTCTCCGTTCCGCACATTTCGACAACAAGAGCGATGAAGACTAATGAACTCAATTTTAATTGCAATGACCGTACTATTGGTTGTAGTTGCAACTGTTTTTTTTTCTTTTTGAAGAGTTGATATAAAATTTAGAGCCAAGAAAGTCGTCCTCTGCCAAACCATGGCCACACAGCGCTTGCGCGATACTAATAATAATTGCGGCTTTCACAGTCCAACAGCCTTATACGATCCTTCGCGAAACCAAAAAAACGAGGTTAGCATCCCTACGCGTCATAAAAGAATCACAATACCTCTACCAGAGTCAACCTTTCCTCTTCATCCGCACTACGACGGCAGCCACGTCGGCGTCCACAAGCGCAGTCGACTGTCGTCTCCACCAGTCACAAGGAAGTTGCCGTAGGGGCTGGCCGCCAAGGCGTGCTGCTCAAAGCTCGGCTGCGTCGTCATCGTCGAGGCCACCTCGCCGGTGTACACGCAGTAGCGCTGAATGGCCAGCAGCGTCGAGTCCTGGCAGTAGACGTGGCTCTCGTTGGCCGAGAAGGCAGCCCGGATGCTCCGGCGCAAGCACTTTGCCGGCTCGCCAAACGACGCCACCTCGGGGCTTTGGTAGTTGCGCAGCGTCGCGCTCAGCCGGCGCAGGTCCCACAGCCGCGCTATGGAGTCCATGCCGGCCGTCAGCACCACGTTGCCGGTCCGGCTGTAGGCCACACTCGTCACTGCGACGCTAGAGTGTGCGTCTTCGGCCTTGTAAATGACGCGGCCGCTGACGCCGTCGTACAGCATCCACGAGCCGTCCAGACTGGTGCTCATCATCGTCCGCCCGTCCGGCGCAAAGCACACAGAAGAGAGCGCCGCCGTGTGCTGCGCGCCGCGGTCCGTCGGGCGGTAGGTCGAGACCGCCGCGACACCTTCATCCTCGCCGTCGCCGCCGACGTGGGCGGACGAGGAGGCGTACGTGCCGGGCGGCGTCAGCACCTTCTCGGTGCGGATGTTGATGAGGCGCGGCAGGTGATGGTCAGTGGCCACCACCATGTACTCGCCGGATGGGTGAAAGGCAGCCGACCGAACAGCGAAGTTGTCGTGCGCCTTCATCACCACCTTCGAGTTGGGAAAGGCGTAGTTGCGGAGGTACACGTCGCCCTCGCGTCCGCCGGAGAGGACAATGGGCTCGCGTGGATGGAAGCGCATCACCTCCACCGACTGCGTGTGCTCGTGAAAGCGGCGCACCATCGCCAGCTCCGTCACCTCGTTTGCGTTGCGCGTGGCTGTCCCTTTCGGCGCCGTCTCGCCCTTGGCCACCGCCGCGGCGTCGCGGCTGCCGTCGAGCGCCCTCGCGCGGTTCGACGCCCGCACCTCGTCCAGCGCGCACAAATCCTCCACCGTCTCGAGGGAGAAGAGCGCGGCGACGCCGTTGGTGCCAGCACACGTGATGTACGCACCATCCGGTGAGAAGGAGATGTCGCGAACTACGCCGCCCAGCGAAGCAGACACAAAGCGCTCTTGCATACTCACGCAACGACGGCCAATGGACCAGCGATTTGTCAGCGACAGCGGCACGTACAGCCTCGAGGCACTCAAGAAACGCTCCACTACCTGCGTAGCCTCGAACTCCACCTCCGCCTTGCGCTCCATTTCCTCAACGCTCAGACCCGCCTCAACCACACGCGAGAGTCGGTCCCCATCGTCCTCTACGCCCTGCACCATCACACCCGTCGCATCGCACACGGCGGAGGCCGCGGCAAGGAAGCCGTCGTGGTGCAGCTGCCGCACCACCATCCGATACACCTCGCGGGGGATGGGGTTGACGAGCGCGCCTTGTCGCGGGCGCTTGCGGTGCGGCTGCGAGCCCCCCGCCATCACCTCCTTGTGAGGTCGACCCGGCATGGATGATGGAGGAGGCATGCTGTCTGCCTCCCCCTCTCGCGGCCTCGCACTCGCACCTGCATTATCTACTGAGCTCGACATGGGAAGCACAGGCGCAATTTTAAAAAGACAAACGAACGCTTTGAGTTTGTCTGCTTAGCGGGCAGCAGCTCAATCTGGTACCTTCGCTTCCTTCCTTGGAGTATTGCCTTGACGGCCAAAGTATTTAAAGAAAAATGTCGCTACACAGAGTGCGTTACACACAAGCTAGTGACTACCGATCTCGAAACGTTACTCTACCGTCTGCACAGCAGCAACACTGCTACTCATACATATATATGTATTCCTTCAGTAGATACCTCGTCGAATATATGTGTGGCGACGGAGGAAAAGCTGCACAGCGTCACAGTGGGCTCCGCTGACACAAACAGAAACCTCCAAATCAGAACGAACAGCGTGTCGGAGAAGGCATTAGAAACAAAGAAGAAAGGAGAAGAAGAACAAGGGCAGTGACCGACAGGAGGAAGTATACAGAGAGTAAAACAACATTGGAAACGCATAAGAACGATTGTGACCGTCAGCGCTACCCTTCCGGTCACCCCTTCATTTCGTCGAGATAATTGGAAACCGCTAAGCACTCGGATAAAACAAAACACAACTCTCGCTAAGGAAGCGGCGCGTAGAACGCATCCGCAGTCTATAACAGCAAAACCACCGCAGCATTGCGCCGCAAGTACAACAGGAAATGGAAAACATAATGTGAACAATCCAAAGAGGGCAAAAATACTCAAGGCGCATCTCCACAGCAGATATACTTCAAGTGACAGCCACGCGCAGGCGCAGCGCCACAGCGCACCGCACACATCCACAGTCACCGGAGCCATCAGCTGGTAGTGCATGTTATCTTCGCGTCCGCACAGCGGGCAGCAGCGCAGTGCAGCTCCGCATAGGAGTGAGTATTGATTTGTCTGCATCAGCGTCCCCGCACAGCGCATACCACAGGTCCAACGAGCAACGGCAGCAGCCACGCAGGAGGCACATCAGAGATTGTTCACCCAAGAAATACAGCAGTTCAATTGGCGCGCACAGCCGGGGCTCCGCGACCTGCGTGTTTCGCAGACTCTGTACATCATCACACACGCACTCCGCACACAGCACACAGAACACAACACACACAGGCAGCTCGCCACGGCGTCTCGCACCACCGATTGGACACAGCGCCACCGCAGTCACGGCGTCATCCTGCCCGGAAGGTGCAGCGCACACACCACGCGCGCAACCAGCAACCAGCAACCAGCAACCAGCAACCGGCAAGCGCCACGCGCAGAACGTCATCCAAGGTATTCGGTGTAGTGTAGTATTGATTGCATCACGTATAATCATCAACGGTCGTTAGGTGGTAGACGCAACGTAATCATTCAGTTCCACGGCACGCACAACGCCACGCGGCACGCATGTCAGCTGGTGTTCTTAGAAGTTGTCGGGTCGTTCACCGGAGGGGTCTCCTCAGGAAATGTGCAAACAAATAACTGCTTCGGTCATCAGCGCGGCCACCGCACAATCGCACACACACTCACACTCACACACCGCACCAGCGGGGTGCGGGCACTGCAGCAGAGAAAGGGAGAGAAGGAAGAGGGGTGGCAGAAAGAAGAGAGTATCGCGCCTCGAGTGAGTGCACACCAGCGTCGTGCACGCCGCAGCAGCGCAGCTGAGGCACATACAGCCAGCCATAAAGCACACAGGGCTCCGCGTCTCAGCGCGAGTGTCCCGGGAGGGGAAGAAAACGCCGAGCACAACGTGCCCCAGTCAGGCGTGGCGCGTGCTCCGGCGCTGGCGCAGCCACAGCGGGTCCGCAGCACCGGACTAGCGCTGCACTACGACTTTTCAGGGTTTGCTTCGACAGGCGGGTCCATGGCGCATTTGTCAGGGAAGGCGGGTTGAGGCCGCGACAATAAATAACACATTTTTGACGAAACAATGGCGACTCACGTAGGGAAATCATCGAGATCTTCGCTGCAGCTCCGTGCAACGCAGGCGTTGAATGAGTCGGGCTCTTGCGAGAGAGAAACCTTAATATCTGTCAATAGTAAAAGGAAAACGACCACTCATAAAAATAACGATGGGAGTCACTTTATAGCGCTCTCCTTCACACACTACGCGCAGACACGTCTACTCGCCCAGGCAACACATCAAGGGCGTCGATGTCTGCGTCGAAGTGAACAGAGAAATAACCCAAACACAGAAGAAGAAAGACAACAAGAAACAAAACAATTAAAAAACGTTTTGAATGGAGACATATTTCGGCTCCTGTACGTTTGCAACGAAAACAAACGTGCGAGAAGTACGCGCTTCGTTGACCGAGAAAGAGAAGAAAATATGATGGAGTTACTGTGCTGTGCAACATGCGCAATGCCGCGTTGCAACAACCTCGTCTCTGGCGCGTCTGCTGCCCCGCTACTCGCCCATGCGACGCGCAGAAGAACCACACGTGCGATTCACAGAGCACACCTGAGGCGGCTTAGAAGAAAAGAAAAGATATACTATAAGAGCAGCATCGGTGCTCCAGTTTTAACAATCCTTACTCCTCGGAGGGAACGGAATCAACCGGATCCTCCCACGGGTGCAGAAAGAAGTACTCGATCACCACCGTCACAATGCCGATGCAGCCGAAGAATATGAACGCCACAGCCTGGCCCTTGTCCTGGTTGCCAGACGGGCCGCCGGAGATGCCCTCCGTCGCGATCGGGTAGCAGATGTTGATCACAAGATTCAAACTGAACATTACGCCCATCGTGAACGACGAACCGATCGGGCGGAACGACTCTGGGAACACGTCCACTGTCAGCACGAAGAAGCACGGAGCAATGCCACAATCGTACGCAAGGATAAAGAGCGCAATGCCGATGATCCCAATCACCTCCTTCGCAAGCGTCGACTTCGTCACGCCGGGGTACACAGGGATGCCGCTCAGGAACAGGCAGCACAGCGAGCCCATAGCTGCACAGGACAGGAACAGCGTCCGCATCGTGAACTTCTTCGACAGCGGGATCGCGCCGAAAGCAGTCACGCAGTTCCACACCATCACGATGATGTTGCCCACGAGAGGATCCAGGCCAAGGTTCGACATGATCATTGGTGCAAAGTTCATGTTCGCTCCGATGCCGGTCAGATGAAGCGTACATCCCATCGCCACGCCAATCAGCAGCGGACCCACCATCTTCGAAATGGGGTACTTCTTCGCCGCCGGTTTAGCAGCGGTCGCATCATCTTCCGGGGCGGTGTACTTCGCATTCGACACCGAGTACCCGTCCTTCGTCACCAGCGGCATGAACAGCGTCAGGATGCACATCAACGTAGAAAGCGCCGTGAGTCCCTGCAAGCGGCCCATCACCTTCGCGTCACGCTCCGCGTCGTACGCGATCGTGTTGCCAAGACAGATGCCAAGGACAGCAGCAATCAACGAACCGACCGTAGTAGACACCTGGAAGAGGGTGCCCAGCGTCTTCTGATAGCGGCGCACAGCGAACTTGTCGGTATAATGCGGCCCCGTGACAGTGGTCCATCCCATCGGGAATCCAAAAATGATGCGGGAAACAAACATCAGCCAGTATTGAGAGATGCCGGTCGCCACGTGCGTCAGGATAGAGCCGACCGAAGCGATGACACCGATCAGCAGGAAGCTCTTGCGGTAGTCCAGCCATTTCGTCAGGTACCCTCCGAGCAGTGCTCCACAAATACCACCCATCATCATAGAACCCGCAAATAGGCCGCTCTGGATCGACGTGTAGCCCACCTTGTTCCCGCACGTGCTCGCGGAGTAGCTCCACACGCAGTCGTGGTCCGCACCGCAGCTGCCCTCGTCATCGTAGCTCAGGAAGCACGTCGTGCGCGGCGCCTCCCACCCGCACACCATCCCCAGCGTCGACGTCGCGTTCACCGTCGTGGCGTCCATCCACTTGCACTTCGCACCGGACAGCGTCTCGCACGAGGTCTGCGCGCCGTACAGCTGGCAGTTCGTCGCGTAGGAATATATCCTCGTGTACGGTCCGACGTACCCGATGTTGTATCCGAACAGCGTTGCAGTCAGAAGACTCGGAAGCACAACAAGGAAATTCTGCCAGCAGAAAAAACTCGTTGGCTCCTTCGCGGTCTCCGTTACATTCGCGCTGTCGCCAATCTCATCGATCGGACCCATCTCACCAGCAGGAAACGCTATGAACGGCTCTCCGGCCGGCACCTGCTTGGCTTCCAACGCAACATCGCCGCTCATCGATTCCCTGCTCATCCTTGCGATGAATCAGTATGGGGGTAGGTGTTGAGGTGATTTAGAGTGTGAGCAGTAAGAGAAAGGGCAGAAAGGGAGTTACTGTGCGAAGAGCAGAGCAAAGAGGGGCAAAACGAATAGGACACAAACATCACAGGAATAATTGTCAGTGTTTGTAGGTTGAGACGGAGAAGGGGGAAAGGTAAAGGTTAGTAGAAATAAACGAAACAGAGGAAGGGTGTTTTGCTTCACCCCTCCATTAACTTCCCAATCCGGTACAGGGATAAACCACGACCCTCACGACCACTCGAGGGCATTTATATAGCATTCAACTTTCTCAGGAAGGCAAGACATCAGATCAATTTATCTCTGAGAAACGTTTTCACGTGGAACGGGAGCAAAGACGAACGCGGTGGCGGACTTCTGCAACCTCAGTCCGCCCTCAAAGCGGATCGGCGTGGGCCTGGGTGGGCGGGAAACGAACAGAAAAGAGAACAAGGCGGAAGTTGAAGACTGTCCGTGAAAAGGGAGAACGAAGTACAAACAAATCTCTGAGGTTGATATTCACACGAGTTCCATTCAAAACATAATCGCATTCAGTCCTTCCTTTCGCTAGCTCCCAAAAGCGGTGCACACCAATTCCCCATGCCGGGAAACGGTGGAGTGGCGCGCAGTCGCACCGCACTCGGCAGTGTGAGGACTCGAGGGCACCGCAACGGCGAGCAGCACAACAGCGCCGCGGCAACTGCAGCACACACACGAATACAACTATCACCTTTGCACATTGTTCACCACGCCTCTGCTCAGCAGCGTTCAGCAGCGCGGAGGCAGCGACAGCGCCACGCATCCGGCACGTGACAGCCACGCGCAGGCGCAGCGCCACAGCGCACCGCACACATCCACAGTCACCGGAGCCATCAGCTGGTAGTGCATGTTATCTTCGCGTCCGCACAGCGGGCAGCAGCGCAGTGCAGCTCCGCATAGGAGTGAGTATTGATTTGTCTGCATCAGCGTCCCCGCACAGCGCATACCACAGGTCCAACGAGCAACGGCAGCAGCCACGCAGGAGGCACATCAGAGATTGTTCACCCAAGAAATACAGCAGTTCAATTGGCGCGCACAGCCGGGGCTCCGCGACCTGCGTGTTTCGCAGACTCTGTACATCATCACACACGCACTCCGCACAC